CAGTGTTTATGCGGTGGCTCATACCGGTAGCTTTCCCCAACGGACCGCCGCTGATGTCAAAAATGTCGACGCATGTAAAGACGTACATTTCGCTCCCAGTACCCTCGTTTTACTCTGGTCCCCTCATCGTCGGCTGGGCCTATCCGAAAAACTTCTGTCTCACTACACGGGACCCTACCGTATATTGCGTCAAGTAACACCTGTCATCTACGAGATCAGCCCCATCTGTCCATCATCATCTACTATGCGGCCCAGTGATATCGTACACGTCTCGCGGATCAAGCCCTACAATAATGCGTCGGATAACCACCTTTAAAGCACCAGGACGGTGCCTCCGCCGGCGGGGGTCATGCTACGTGCCAGTGCATGGAGCTGAAGAAGAGAACGCAGATAGACTGGCGCGAGCTAATCTGTGTGGCTGGCGCTGCTCACCTGACCGGCTGTAAATACATCGGTGACTACCCCTCTGAGTCAGTCTCCTTCCCGTAACAATATTGTCTGTTGTTTCCTGATCAGCTCGGGGTGTGATTCTGGTAGTCTGCACCTTTCCTCTCGGTACATCTGGGTAATGTCCCGAAAGCTGGTAAGCGGGTGTGGTAGCTTTTCTGGCTCAAGCTCGGCCTGGATTGACATTTCTCGGGCACGATAGTCGGCAATGGTGTTGTCTGCTACCTGCGAGTGAGCCGGGAACCACGCGAGCTCTACGGCTCTTCTCGGAGGCTTGCACTTGGATAGAATGGCTTGTGCAGCGGATGAGATTACCCCCCTGCAGAAGCTTCCATAGGCAGTCTTTGAGTCGGTGACCACCGTGTCTACGCTCGGCTGTACGAGTGCAAGGGCCACGGCCACTTCCTCGGCAATTGCGAGGTCTGTTGTCCTCAGGGACGTGCCGACGATTAGCCTGTCAATGAATGTAACCACCACCGCCCCACGGTCATTGTGTTTTCAGAGCGAGGGGTCTGCGGACACGACTCTGGGGTTCTTTTCCAGCTTCCGAGTCATGGTTTTGGCTCGCGCGGTGCGCCTCTCGTTCTCCATGCCCAGCGTCATGTTCCGGGGAAGGGGTTTGGTTTTAAGTGTAGTCTTCCAGTCCTCCGGAAGGGCCCCCTTGATGGGTACTGGCCGCAAGACGTTCAGTTTGAGGTGGGTAATTTAAAGTGCGCTAACCCGATTCAGACCCCTAAAACATGATTTTATTTCAAAATAAGCCTTTCCTCGGCACAAAGGTAACAGTTTCTGGATTGCTGTTTCAACAATCACCAAATTCTTTTCAGCAGCCTTCTTACCGAAAACAGCCGCCGATTGGAACCACCTTCCCTCTTCCGTTGTAACAATAACAGACCCTTTGTTATTCAAGACTGCAATTTCTCAGCAATGCTTGCAACTATACGCAGTTTCCATTATCTATCTTTGTCTTGTATGTGCTTGAATTCTTACTTATACATTTTTAGTTGATTTATGTTGCCTTCGTGATTTGCGCATCTGACACTTGTTTCTTTTCTTTGTCTTTTTTTCTTGTGTGTTATAAAATGTTGTACCCACCCCCTCTGTAATGCCCTACGGGCCCTGAGGGTATTCTAATAAATAAATAAATCAATGTCTACTTAATAGTTAATAGTGCCTTTAGAGTCCCTTTAAGCTGGGCGTCTTGATTGTTTGGGAACGAAGAAAACTTGTACATGGTAACCATGTGCATGTATCAACTCATTATGAATGATAACTAACAGACAATAATGCGAAGGAAAGTATAGGGGATGTTATCAGAAGTAATTGTAATGTAAATATGAATAAAAGTGCACAAAAATATAACTTGCTACGCACAGGATCTGAACCTGCGTCCTTCGAATAATGTGTCCGATGCTCTGCCACCAAGCTACAGCGGCAGTCATCCCCCGTCCACATTATTGGGTATACATAAGTGCACTTACAGGGTATATTGTGTCTAACAAAGAAAACGTGCCCTGAAATTTACTCTTTTCATGTACTTACTATGAAAAACTTAAAGTGGAAACATTCACTCTGGTGGTCAGAGCTATAACAAAGACACCAATTTGTTCATTACGATTTCGTTTTCTGTTCAACTGACATGGAAAGCACTGTCTGTGTCCTTCAAAACAAGAACTCTGAGCAGTCTGTTTGTAATGCCTCGCCACACTTTGGGATGTGGCACTAGCGAGAAAGTAGACTTCAGGAGACACTTCAATGACCCAAAGGATATGCAGCATGCATACGGAAGCGTTCGAATGGTGCGATGGTAGATTTACTATTGCAGCCCGATGAGCGAGTGAAATACAAAGGGATATGCCAATTTGTCCGATTTCATTTTGAATTTGTAAGTTCAAATATGGAACCTGAGGAACCGTTATGCATTTCATGAGTTGATGTGTTGAAGTGCTGTAGGCAAGCACCATCAAAACTTCCCGTTCAACAAGTTGTTTCTTATCTCAAGGTCTTTTGCCAGCAGATAAAGAAAGCCGGTTCGTGATAATGTCCTATGACGTTTTTCTTTCTAAGGCTAATGAAGCTATCTCTGCAGTACTAGATTGCCTCATGGGTGTACGCATGTCCATTATCAAGAAAATGGCAAAATACTTGCGTGAAAAGGTTAGATTAGACAATGTGCTGGCAAAATTCGGAAAACGCAAGGACCGTCTTGGATCATTTTTTAGCACTAAAATGCACAAGCCAGAAACACCCCCACTAGCAAATGTTTTTAAAATAGGAACTCGGCAGAAGGCCTTAGCTACGTTCCTTCAAGAAAAGCTTATGCTTTTGGAAGTAAAGGACTCCTTCCTTGTAAAAAAAAAAAGTTGCAAGTCTTGGACGCTATCATCCCTTGATAAAGGCATGTGCCATGTCTATCGATATAAAGGACCTATACTACTTGCCGCTACGTGACACCTTGCTTGAATGTATAAAAGGGGCCCTGCAACATTCTTTCAAGTAGCCACGCGTAAAAGTATTTGGACTCCGTCTTGTACGACTGCAGTTACGAAGATTTGTCACATGCTGCAATCGCAATCTCTTTTCTCTTGTACCGACGAAAGCGCTGGAAGGTTAGCAGAGAGGGATGGCACGAGGAAAGAAAATGCATCATGTGCGCTTTGTGAGCTTTAGCACTTTTTTTTTTTTTTTTTTGCCGAATGCGTGGTTCTCCAGTGTGCAAGCGCGGAAAAGTTTTGGCCTCCTGCGGCAGCCTCAGTAACGAACGAGTGTGCCATGCTCAAATCAGTCAATACAGTGACTGTGACAAAAATTTTGGAGCTTATAGCATTATTTGTTGAGAAGAGGAAGCAATATTTAACTGTTAAGAATTTATAGTGAATTCCAGGCCGTGTGCTCCACAATATTTGGCGTGCATGCTCTCGGGAGCCTCGACTACCAATCATCATAGTTTTCTGACCATGCTGAAAAAGTTACAGGGCCCCTTTAAAGATGCACTAATTCAGTTTGGCTGAATAGATTTTAAGGATGCTTCTGGCATTTTGCCCAGATACCTGTTAGACCTTTTAGCTATGTACGTACCTAGATTTCACTTAAATCCAAAGGAACAGAAAGCCTTTTATCTTGAAACATATATAGGCTCCTGCATTGTACCTACTCATTGAGAATGGTTTTTAGGCAGCCTCAACAAAATTTGTTGAATGCTCCTCCGGGGAACACGTGTTTTTAAATGTTTTAGATAAGTTGACTCTTTCTTATGAAATGTGACAAAGGTACCTTTGAATCAAAAGCTTTTGACATACTAATGCTTGTCACTGTCTAAATCATTTTGTGCTCGCTCGGGAGGTTCCGGGTGAGGACGATTCCTTAAAGTTCTTAGACGTACAATTTTATTTCCATGACACACACGTGTTGGTCCTACAATCCATGGGGAAACAAACCTTTGCTGTTATTTTCATCTTCACACTCAGAATTAGTCAAGAAGACTGCCGCGAGACACTGCCTCGACAGTGTTTTGAGCCAATAATGTTGCCATTTAATCGGGACAAGCCTTGACTGCCAAAAGGCATGCTTTGCACAAGCGGGCTACCCCTATTACCTCCTGGTGTTGGTTGCAGAGTCCCTGTTCAAAAAGCCTTCAGTTCGCCAACAGAATACCAAAACCGTTATGAATGCCCGGAAGAAGTATGCAACGATGCCCTGCTTAGACAAGACTTCCCACAATATAAAAAAAAAATGGGCGCTCGAGAAAATATAGGCGTCGTTCTCGCAGCTTTCAACAAGCTGGGAAAATTGTGCAAGTTCAGCAACCCAACTGCTCGCTAATCATGCTGCTGTGACAAGATTACATAACACGTCACATGCAATGCAAAGTGTCCTGTACCAGCACCCACTGTCGTGTGGGAAATTCTACATGGGGTAGATGGAGTGGTACCTCAATGATAGACTTAGAGAGCACAAAAACAATGTTAAGAAGGGAGGGGACAGTCTTATCCGTGCATTGGCACACATGTAGGTGTTTGCCTGTTTTTGACAAGTGCTTGGTTATTTGCCTGCTTATAGGTACATGAAAATATGAAGTTGATAGTAGAATTGACTACAACACATAAGCTAGGTGAAGAATGTGCCAGTGCACTTTTTTCATCTATCTAGGAAAGAATTGTAGTTTCTTCATGCCACCACATTTGCACACGCCCGAGTGTCCGCCTTGTATACATTCAGTGATCTGGCTTCCAAAAAATTATTGATGGCAGTTAGCACTTGTCCGCATTTTCCCTGTCCCATCCTCTTCAATTTAGTGCTGTGCTTAGCTTTATGAACAAGTTCAATAACATTTGTTTGCATGCATCTCTCGTCAAAATTGTTGTCACATTCATCTCAAGATAAAAAGAACATATTAAAATGCAAAACTGAAAGTGAAATTGGGTGCAGGGCTCCTTTAAAAAGTCATCTGTAGTTAGAACTATCCCAGATGCCTCCTTTTCTCTCCCCTACTGTATCTCTCATGGCAGACATATGAAAATGAATACTAAATTCAAACTCAATTCACGAATATACATTTGTAGTAAAAATGATCTAAAATTTTTAATGAGAAAACTTTGGCACAAAAAGTAAATGAACACATCAAACAACAGCTATATCACAGGCATAGTCCTAGCTCTGATTATGTGAAAACATCGGAATGCCACTGTTATCTTGATACCACTTTAGCTCCACTTTCACCTTCTCTAAAGTGCTTTTCACGAGGGACAATTCATATGCCATGCTTGACAGCCTTTCATCCTTTTCTTTCAGCTGTGCCCTTAATTCCTTGATCATCTGAAAAAAAAAAAGAAAGGCAAGGGAATAAATTATCAAAATGTTACAAGAACATGTCTCTACTAAAGTTCCACATATATTTATAGATGTAGGGTGAAGTACAGAAGCTTGAAAAACTGTGCCCTTATTTCCTGGTGTTAGACAAGAGAAGACAGTGTTCTACAATCATGGTTTTTTTTACATCTATAATCCAGCTAACACTCCCCTGCAGTGTGGTAGCCACTATAATTGCAAAATGGCTTTCCTGCAGTAATTGACCATCTCAGCTGTGGCTGAAAGTTATCCATAAGACCAACAGCAATAAAGGGAACTTTGATGGTACAAACCAGAGTCCTTCGATACAATTACTGGTTATGAAGCTTCGGCATAACTCTATGGGAGAGCTTTGTGCACTGCAAGCGGAGGCCGAAAAGTGGTGCTGCGTCCTTTCGGGGGGCATCGGACAGACAGCGGCTACAAACTGTGCCCCCGCTCGTTTTTCATCTCAAGTTTGATGTTGTGCCTGAAGGTCTAAAAGGATGCCACGTACATGCTGTGCGCCTAGGTGTCAATCTGGCTACAAGGTAAATGACAAAAAAGTATGTTGTAGCTGTCTAGACAGCAAACGGCGGGTCCACAACAAGAAACTGGTTGTTTCACATTTGATCCCCTGGAATCGCATGTGTGCTTGTGTTCTTGTGCATTTACCTTAATTTCACAGTAAGTAAGGCACTGTTGATAATATTGTCGCTTTAGGTGTTGTCAAACATTGAGGTTTCACTTTGGCGTAAGCTGTTATTTGACTTTAGCGTCCCTTTAAGATAACATAGAAAAAACACACTAAGGGGCGTGTCCGCGATGTGCGTACTTGAGGAACATGGAGCAGATGATTTTTCCGTCGTTCACGTCACTACCGGTCATCCATAATGGCGTCGTTTTTTATAGTTTCAGTCTCAAAAACATCATTTGCAAGCTTTTTTCTAAGGTAAGCGCTTGTATTTCGAAGGCGACATTTGGCAGGCAGCACTACCTCTAGCAAGACTACCTATATATTGACTTTTTGCAGAGTGCTAAATTTCGTTGCAGTTGGCCTTTAACGAAGATGAGCATACTGGCTGCCTTTCCTCATTGCGTAACCGTAATAAAGAAGCTCGATGAGTAAAATGCATGCCGTATCCTTTTATACAGGCACTGAGATGACCAAAGGTGTAGAGGTAAAATTCCATACAGATGAAGGTACATGCAGCTCTTCACAGCATGAAAAATTTAAAGCATACATCCATTGCTTGGAAGAGACTTCAGCGCTACCAATGGAAGCTTGCTAGGGTGATGACGCAAAAAAAGGATGCACAAAAAAAAAAGAATATCTCATGTGTTGGCGTCTAGCGGCAATCTTAACAGAACGATCTACAATGATCACGATAACAATAATGCGCAGTTTGTACTGAGCATTCCTAACCGACGCTTTGTGGGCGGAAACTGAATCAAACGAAGGCGAAAATAAGAAACGTGCCCGGCACTCTATCAAACTTCTCCCGAAGCTTCATGACCAGTAAATGTACTGAAGGACTCTGGTATGAACATGCATGACCTGTCACAGTGAATATAATGCAGATTAAAGCCTGGTGGCTTGTATATTTATAGCTCCGTGTGCACAAACATGAAGCACTTGCAAAAGTCAAGTTCAACAACAGAGTTCGACGGAAGCTCGGCACCATGGGCGAAAACTTCACAGATGACATTGCCGAGACAGTGCACCAAAGTGCAAGGCCTGAAATACCAGTGCAGATGTTTTTCAATGTGGCCACGGTGGCAGACTGATGTCCACACACGCAAGCAATTGCTGACATTATAGTGAATGTAGCAGTGAAGCTAATGACAGGTGCTGCTAGGCTGTTGGCTCTATTTATGACGTAATAAAGCTGACATGCTATTCTGGCTTTTTGAAGAAGCCTGCTGATGTGCTTAATGATTGTGCTAAATCAATCTACAAAAAGTATGAAATTTTTGTCACTACAATACAGAATTTGTAGATGTGTTAAATGGTGTAGTTGAGATAAGGAAAAGAATTTTTAAATAATAACAATAACTTATGAAATTTTATGTGCCAATGCCAGAAAAAAAAATTTAATTTTTTTAGACCACAAAAAGGAAATGAAGGCAACAGGACAGTGCACTATCTTTTGTTGCCAAGCGCAGCTACGCATCCCAATACAGGATTTTATGTCTTACGGCTACATAAGAAAAAAAAACATATGTATAAAGCCTGTAACTTACCTTGTCTTTGTCGATAAATAAAGGTGAAATCAAGAGTTCATTTGCACTTGGTCTTTCCTTAGGATTGCTCTTGCACATGGCCAAAATGGTGTTCACCTGTAACACAGGCATAACGCTAAGCTTACAAACTTTATTATTACCATGTTAACTTCGTAGGTTACACTGTTAAGCATTAAGCATCAGAATTTAAAGCTACTAGCCCAGTGCACCACTGACGACTACACCGTGGGCAGCGCTCTATGATTTCTACAAAGAGATTTCTTTTTTTTTTTTGTAATCTACTGTGCTCAGCTAGAGCACCTGCATTTTCATTAGTTGAATTGTGCTTTGCCTGGTGCTTGTGTAACACAGTGTTCTTCAATTTAGCACATCCTATACGTGTCCACAGCCCTTATACACATGCAGGAACATAGTCACCGGACTGAGCAGAGTAATTAATTGGGCCAAGTGGCACTGCAACATTTGGAGTGAGAGCACAAATGTCCTGCCAAGCAAGTAAACAGTAGTCTATGCAGCTTTGGAAAGGAAGCACAATGCCAGAGCTTATCTGAATATTTTACATCAAGCGACATGTTGAATCAATAAATGTTATACCTTCAAAAATATTGTCAAACATGCATGCAATGCTTGGCTGACAAAAAGAATAAAGAGAGAAAGAGAGAGAGACATGACAAACAATTTACCGTATTTACTCGCGTAATAAATGCACGCCCAACTTCAGTCATCAAAATTTGAATTTTTTTTTGTTTCCCGCGTATTGTCGCGTATTCAAGACCCGAGCCCTCCACCAAGAACGTCCACGTTTATTTCGACTGCTCGTGCGTAACTTCTACCTTCTCTTCTACGACGTTCTGCTTCTTGTTGCCGCCCGTCTGCAATCATCAGCAACATATTTCCAAGGAGCCAAGGCTGCTGATTCTCACTCACTTCCTTTCAGAATATAAGCCTTCCGAACGGGTCGTTTGATTTCCTGTCCAACAGCCTGTCGTAAAGTATAGATGCGCACACACTATCACTGGGTGCACTAACATATTACTGTTCAGCTATAGTGCCACTCGACATGCCCTGTAGTCACATACAAGCGTATAGCCTGTTCCCACACAAGCACAATCACCAGCATGCAGCCGAGGCATTTCACGACTAGGCTCATAGCGCACGAATTGCTGTAATAGGAGGTATGACCACTTCTCTCGGACCCGTCGGTGTACTGGGAGGCGCTCACCAAAGCAGGTGTGGCAAGGAAGGTCCTCTCTTGTAAATGCTGGTAGCCGGAGGAGGTAGCTCATTGCAGAAAGTCTGTCACGTTTTCTGAGTAAGCAGTGTAATTGTGTCAGTGGTTAAGACTTTTCTGGACTATTGTCAAGTTACACAAGAAGTCCGCTCTTGACAACCAGTTGAAACTCCACAGATTATAGTCATGAGTCCCTCACCGTTGAAACTGTTGTTCCCAAGCGACCACCTCAATGCAGTTTTTGTGCATTGCATGATGCTCTGACCAGCCTCCCCACCAAGGTATTCTGTCGCCCACGAACTTCCAGCTTATGGTTGGCTGACATCGAAAGACAGTGAGCATCTGCACAACCTCAGCATCGAGCTTTGAACTCTTCAGCTGGAGATCCTTCTGGCAGAGATGACTTAGTGCGGGCGGTGAGGGCATCGCAGCACGAAGTGTCGTGATGGCACCTCAGCGGATGACTACATGATGGTACGTAAAATATACATTGTCCTTTTGCAGAATTTCAACTCTCCCTGCACGTTCCTCATTGACAGACGCTGTCACTGCCAGTTTATCCTGGTTCAGAAGTTCGCATTCTTCTGTGAAACTGTTCGCTTGCGCTTGTGCATAGCACTCGGCTGAGCTTTGATTGACGCTGACTGAAAGTATCACTGCACCTTGCTCATTCAGTGGCACAGGAATCCAACCACAAAAGTTCATTGTGTTCACCTCAAATGTCTCAAATTCTGCCAGAGCCTTGTTCTTTCTCTTTACTGATGGTTCGATTCCGATGATGTTGAGACGCCGTGTCACAGACGCATCGCAGTCAGGAAGAGAAGTCTGGCTGCAATTCCAGCGAGTGCCATGCAAATGCAGACGGCATTGATAGACGTCCCACTGGTACTGTCGGGGGTTGGACATCCTCTTCAGGTAGCAAACGTGAGCAACCCGACACCATTTGTCCTGGCCTGCCTTCCTCTCGGATCTCAATCTGAATGCGAAGGAAATTGAGCGATTTGGCAGCCTGGTGAACTCTCTGTTCAGGTGTCACGTTTCCTGCGGTACTTCCTGCGCCTTCTGGTGGTAGAGAATCCCGAGATCGGCCCGCAGACACTTTATCAAGACGCGGTTGAGGACCACATTGTACTGGTCAGGTGGGACGCCCATACCAGTCAACGCGGAGACTAGAAAAGTTGACCTTGTCGTAGAGCAGGCGAAGCTTCTCCACGTCTGCCGACGACTTGACTGGCGCTAAGGCGAGCAGGTGGTCAACATGCGCGTTGACAAGCAAGTCGCGCTGACCAAATCGCTCCATCAAAGTCTTGATCACGATGTTGTAATTGTCTTTGGTTAGTCGGATGCCCTCGATTGCTTTCTTTGCTGCACCGCTCAAATGAACTGAAGGTACTTGAACTTCTTGATGGTCTCAGAAGGACTGCCAATCGCGAAGTGCACCGGAAAATGTCGGAATCTAGTTTCGGCAGGACCACCGTGGGATGACCGGCATCGTTCCTTGACTGGGAATCGTATCTGCTACTTGAGACGAGTCACTGACCTGGCTTTGGGCTGCGGTGCTGGAACCACCAGCGTCGACGTTCGGTGATGTAGCCACCGACCTCGCAGCACTCGTTACTGTCGCCTTGTCTGCAGCCTCTCGGAGGAAGAAACGCGCTCATGACATGGCGTAAGAGACCCTTCTGTCCTACTCTTCCGCGACCTCGAGCTCTTCCTCGTAGTCGTCGTCGTCAGTCGCATGAAAGATTTCTTTGTTTAAGGTGACGAGTTCGGCGTTCTGAGTGAGGTAGGCAACGTGGGAGTTGACCTGACTGGCATCGGGAACGGAGGCTTGCAGCTCATCTGTCAGGAGCGTGATAGTTCGTGTGACGCTCGCCCTGACGACGCCATGGTTCTTGTGCAGCCGCTCCAATGAGAAGTCTTGGAAGGGCGTCACCGGGGGGTTTCAGGACCAGAAAGATGCGGCACCCCCTACATTTGTCTGCCGCAGTCCCGCTAATCGACACCTGGCACTTCCTTGCCCATTGGATCTCTTCCGTTTTTATTATTATGCCCGACCCTCCTCCGCCATATATCAGCTCGCTCCCTCATACCTTCGCCCACTGCTGCGCGTGTAGTTTTTTTTTTTCTATTTGTGCGCAGCACGAACCCAGTTTTTTTTATATTTATGTTTTACAGTGGGGTGCACGAACAGTGCAAGTGTAGAGGCATCAGAGCTGACAAGCACACAGCGAGTGAAGGTCACGAAACTGTCCGCGCCAACCGACAGTCGCTTCCTGCAAATACGAAACTAAGGCTTAATCACATGCATGCAATTTTCTAGCGACGACGACAGGATTTGCTGTCCCTATGGCTGTCGCGAAGGGCCATTCATCACAATCGTGCATCAGGTTTGAACAAATTGCTTGTAGCCCAGAAAAGATTGCGACTATTTCTGCAACGTGGTCCCCAATTCTCGCTTCGGTTGCGAGGCGGCTGTCGTATTTTGTCGTAATCTGGTCATCGACGATTTGTTTTGATGCTTTGGTGGTAGCTTGCTGCAATGTTGGTTGCTTGCTACAATGTCAACGGCATCGTTGCGGTCGTCGTGCGAGGTTGCTACGAAGTTGGCTAGGTGCGTTGTGGTGTCGCAGCGCACGCTTCTGGGCACACCTCGAGATCACAGCAAAAACTACTGTTGCGGTTAAACGATTGCGAGAAAAAATAGCCGTGAAACGCTTTTATGGCTTGCACGGGCGGTGCAGGAACAGCTTGCAGAAGATAGCGCCTTCAACCACCGAAGATGAGTGAAGTGCTGCAAAGAAACTGAGCGACCCAACTTTTTTTGCATTACTGCACTGTTTATTGCAATAGTAATTATATGGACAGTTCTGGCCGGTTTTTGCTGTCGCCACCACCACCATGCACCATATATGTATACGTATCTATATATATAAAAAACTAAAAAAAAAAAAAAGCCGCCCGCGCTCAGCACCCAGATTGTCAGAATGTGCCAACGCGCGCTTATCTTCCAACGTGTACTTTGCTCAGGAGGTGGGGGCTGGGTTAGGTGCTGGTGCGCACGCTTATCTTTCTGCGGGGGGGGGGGGGGAATTGTGTGCCTTGGTCTTTCACCGGAAAGATTGCGTTTAGTTTACGGGCACACAAAGATCACTTCGCTGGCTTGGCAAGCTCCATTTGCAAAAAGAGCGCGCCTTTCAAATGCAGCGAAGTAACAACTGGGTCACTTGCTAGTTCGCACTCATCTGTACCTGTGATTATGTATCGCGAGTCATTTTTGTTTAAACAGCGCGTTAAGCGTCGAGCTCTAAGCGTTGTTAGCTCACGCACTGTGCGCGTTTTCTTGCGTCATTTGTGTGTGGGCACGCGCTGCACGTTTCAATCTGCTAGCCGTTTTCAGCGTTACATTCTAAGTTGTTGCTATCGCATTCATGGTTTCGCCCTTGTGGCGAAACTGACTCTTTCGCTCATACCGAAAAAGTTTCGCAAAATTTTCCCCGCATAATAAATGCACCCCCAACTTTGCTCCGATTTTTCGAGAAAAAAGTATGTTCATTACCCGAGTAAATACGGTACTTTTTTTTTTTTCCGCATTCTATTAAGTGCCATACTATCAAGCATGCTATGCACTTTCATGGAAACGAAAATCTTATAACATTTTAAATAAGAATGCTTCATCTTTATTAGCTGAGCATAATTAGACAATTTTGGGTAGAGGTGACGTTAAGGTGGCTAAGACTCTGAAAGAACTTGTCACCATAAAAATTAAAATAAAATAAAAAAGAATGTGGAAAAACATGTACATTTATTACAGAGCCATTGTGCATCCCCTTTAGAATATTTAGAAGAACTGAACTGACAGAGT